AATGTTGTTGATGGGACGATCAATTATACATATATATATGTGTAAATATGGCATATAACCTATATAGTGTACACACAGCAGTATGATCTTATGACAAAGAGATACACACATGAATAATTAATGCGTAATTTTAGGTCATGAAATATCTGGGGTAAAACAGAGACTTTACTTGCCAGTCCTGCTACTTTTAAACATCACTTCCCAGAGATGTGTATTTTGCTGGAGATCCACAGGTTCTTTTGAACTTGACTCACATTGATTGACAAGGGCACTTTGGATTTTGCTGTCGACACAAGCCCTTCCTCTCGATGCAGGTAAACTAGGGTGCAGGTCCCTTCAAGTTGCAGCTGTTACAGAAGACATCAGTGGTTGTTTGAGGAAGGCTGTAATAATCGGGTATGCAGCAATGGGAACATTACACAAGAAAGCAGACCCAGGTAAAAGTTTGATCTTCGAAAGGACTGAATAAATTCTCATCTATAATAATATCCAGAGATCATTTTTCCCTTAGGGAAATTTGGCCTTGATAAAGTGGACTCAAATTACAAAGTAAAAAACCCTAAAGGAATGCCTAAGAATTTTCCCCTTCCTTTTTCCTTAATATTAGTTTTGTATTATTCCATTAACAATCATACTGAATTCAATTAAGCAAATATTTATTGAGCCCCTACTGTATACCAGGCACCATTCTAAGTGCTAGGGATGGAACACTAAACTCTTATCTGACATTGATTACTAAATCCACTCCCCATTCTTGGGCATGCAAACTAATTAAAGGTATTGCCTGACTCTTCAGAGGCCTCTGAACATGCCGTTATGAGACATGGCCTCTCTATTTGCAAAATGCTTAGGTAAAATGGCAATAAGACATTAGAAATATCTGGAAGAGGTGGATTAATGGGTGCAAAGTTACAGTTAGATAGGAAGAATAAGTTCTCTTGTTCTAGGCTGACCATAGCTAACAATGTTAAATTGTATATTTTTAAATAACTAGGAAAGAGGATCTTGAATGTGATCGCCACAAAGAATAGGTAAATGTTTAGGAGATGAACATGCTATCTACCTGAAGTGAATCATTGTACAATATATGCATGTATTGAAACAACATTGTGCAAAGGCCACATAGAGAATATTTTTGGCTTTGTGGACCATACGGGCTTTGTCACAACCAGTCAGCTCTGCTGTGGTAGCACTAAAGCAGGAATGACTGTGCTCCAAAAAACCTTTATAAAAACAGGCAGGGGCTGGATCTGGCCTGTGGGCCATCATTTGCTGATCCTTGTCCTACTCTCTAGGGATGATGTAGTCTACCTTCTGGGCATGGAAAGCAGACAACAGACAAAATAAATTGCAATTTAGAGCAGGGTAATCAGGATACTCCTTATTGAGAAAGTCACTTTTAAACAAAGATTTGAAGTTGGCGAGGGAGTTATATGTGGGAGAACATTCTAGGACAAGGACCAAATGCACAAAAGCCTTGAAGATGGAGGAACCTGGAGAGTGGCTAGAGTGAATGGGGGGGGGGGGGGGGGGGAGGGGGGGGGGGGGAGGGCAGACGGGCCGGGTTTCCAACC